TGAAATTTTCATAATGAGTAACCACTATATAAAATAATTATAGTAGTAATATCAATTCATAAAGAAAGATACATACATACATACATACATACATATATACATATATATATATATATATATATATATATATATATATATATATATATATATATATATATATATATATATATATATATATATATATATATATATATATATACTTAGCAGAAACAACATCTTGAAGTATAGAATTTAACAAACACAACTTTAAATGATTGCTGGTTTGCCCGAGAGGTTAAGGGGGAAGACTTAAGATCTTCTGCACAGAAGTGTGCATGGGTTCGAACCCCATAGCCAATAATTGATAATAAAACTTTTATATGGAAATTAAATAATATCTAAAGAATGAATTAGTAATATTGACTTTAATTTGTGGTACCAATTCATTAGACATTCATATTAGTATATATATTGACTAATATATTACAAAATTTTATATAAAAAATTCAAACGAAATTCTAATACATTAGTTAATGTCCATATAAAATTTTAGTCAATATATACTATTAATTTTGTAATACAAAAGGGATTCTAATATATTACTTACCGTACACTAATATATGAATATTAATTAATTGGTTGAAAAATTAATAAAGCTTAATTGAAAACAAAATTTTATATGCAAATTAACTAATATATAATGAATTGGGAAAAGAATTTCGTTGGAATTTTCTATTTTTTCCTTTTTAAGTACATATTGATTTTAATCTGTAGTACCAATTCATATTGACTAATATAATACAAAATTTTATATGAAAAATTTCAAGGAATTGAATAATATATTAGTTAACTTGCATATAAAATTAGTATTCGAATAAATAGGAAAAAGAATCCAACTTTACGCAAATAAATTAAGAAATCCATCTTTATGCAAATAAATTGGAAAAAGAATATTCAAAAATTACTATTACGCAAAATCAGTATTCTCTGTGTGTAGAATTTGAATTATTATTATTAGTGTAAATAATTATTAATAAATTATTATTTCCTTAGGAAATTACGCAGAATTTTCAAGGAATTTTCCCTTTTATTACACATAATTATAATGGTTTATATTTTTCCGGTGAAAATTGGCTCGCGATTTGGCCGGCAGGACCAAATGTGTTAACAATTGCATAGTTACAGGACTAAATTGAGAGGTTTGAAAGTCAAGTACTCAAGTTAACAACACCACAATAGTCACAGGACCAAAAGTGCAATTAATTCTTCTTATTATCATCAAAAAACACTCTGTACAGCATTACAATGGTATATATAATCTCTCTATCATAATAGCCTTTAGGACTCTTACAGTATTAGGAATCCTACAGTATTCAAAATCCTATCATCAATATAAAGCCAGAATAATGTACACGTAAGGTTTTACAACACTCTCCATTGGAAATTATTTTGTCATAATCATGCCTCGTTAAAAACTCGCTAGAAAAACTATGTGGGAAAAACCCAGTCGAGAAGATAGTACATGATATTTTGTAAACTCATATACTGTACTGATTGCCTCATTAAAACCCTTAACTTAAGAAAACCCTATGGGAAAAACTTAGTTAAGGGAAAAAGAGTACAACCATAAGCCTTCAGGGAACAATCGACCTAATCTTCAGGATTTTGGGGTTTGTCTACTTAAGCAATACTATATCATACTCATGCCTCGTTAAAAACCTCACTTAGAAAAACCCAGTGGGGAAAAATTAGTTGAGGAAAAGAGTGCATGATGTATGTGTATTAGATTAGCTGCCTCAATAAAAGCCTTAGATTTAAGGAAAAACCCCGTGGGGAAAAACTTAACTAAGGAAAAGAGTACAGCTGCCCTGTTAGTCGTCAAGACCCAATCTTCAGGATTGTAAAATGATACTCCCCCTCAAGATGACAATCTCCAAATCCACATAAAAAATATATATCCAAAATTGTAGAAATGGATTATTCAAATCTTCTGGATTGTCACTAGAGTGAATATCTTGCACAATAATTTTGTGGCTCTTCTAGATCTCGTATTGGTCGAATTTGACGTTATATATGCTTTGTCAAATATTCTTTAACATACTCATATATCATTTGTGCAACTCAAGTGTTATTGTCCTCATTTGGGGCATTGGGGGAAATTCATTGTTTAACCAGTTTGGAATTTTGGCATCACAGGGATCAAACATATATAATAGCCAATACCCAAACAGCCTATCAAAACCATACATTTGTTTCTCATATAAATGCCAAAATCTTTTCTAACTCAGAATATATATTAAACAGTATTCCAATATTTCATTATAGAATGAGCCCTAGATGTTGCTAGCAATTTTATCGCAAATATCATGTCTGTTGCGATTATGGAACTTCTGGTTCTAAAAAGGTGCTCCAACGACAATGAAGTAAAGGTTTGTTAAGGTATCCTTACCAAGTCAGAACGGTTCCTTATCTACTTCAGGAGATTATTAGGCAACTTATAGTTTGACAAAACCATGATACTTTACCATATAGACAGGTGAAAAATAGGTTAACTGGTGTATTAAATTCATTCAAACGAAAAACTCGATCTTCAAGTCGAGATAATACTTAGCTTCCCAAGCCTTTTATTAAAAAAAAAATAAAAAAAATCTCCGTCTTTAGACATGAACTGATATCATCAAGCTCTTTAGGTATTTCAATGATGTTTGCACTATCAATATTGACTGAGATAATAAATAATAAATAAGTTCATTATCAACCCTTTATCGAGCATATAATGGTGCATATTATTCCTTCGTCATGAGGATAATAACTCCATTCGCAACTCTTTAAAGAGTAAATAATGACACATAAATTCTCATTTCGGAAATTATAAATCCATCAGGGATTTCTCAAGATAAATTTAACTGCATATCTAAATTTATTATTATTCTGCCAATGATATTATATAGCGGAACTTAATGCCATTTATCGTGGGAGATTTTATTTGATTAGAATCAATCAAGGGTATCTACGTGAACCCATAAGGCTACAAACTCGCTTCATATCATATGACCTCGTTATTCTTATTTCTCTTCCATGCACACACCTATTTGTAACCTTCGACGTTAACACTCAACGGTGTATTGTTATAAACAGAATATATATTTTAGCGAGTCGAGCTATGCATTAATTGCTCCTTTACACGTTAAATAGTCATGACACTTCCCCGATGCCTAACTCTGGATCCAGATTATTATATAACGGAGCAATTTGTAGTGGCAATTGTGTTGTCGACAACTATAATACTTTCATAAATCTCTCCCATATTTATAATTGTTCATGGCAATATTTAAGTCAACCAGATTCTAAACATTTCTCAGAAATATTCAAATCACATCTGGTTGTCCTGCATCCCTAGTATTATGTTTGTTTGGTACACCTATGAATTGACTAGGGTTTCTCGTCATCTGGACAAATGTCTCCGGGACTAAATTATTCAAGCTTTTCCAAGAGTGACAATGTTTATTTACTAGATCTAGTATTATGATTCTTATCTCTTTTCACCGATGGATCTCCTATACTTTTGATGCCTGAGTATCGGTAGATTTATTTGGTCCAAGTTGGGGAATGTACATGGGACCTAGTCCCTCTTTCATGATCAGTATGATCAATAGATGTATTTGGCTGATTATTTGCTAATATCGCAAATAGATTATTTTCTGAATTTCCAATTCATACTAACTAGTACGTGGATTTCTTAACTAATGAAGATCTTTCCATTGCATGGAACTTCTCAGCATTTCATTAAATTTGGGCACATCTCCCCCTAATGCCGTGAAATGATCTTCGTGATGCATGTATGTAGTCAGCGTATCTATTGATCCCCTATAATGGGCTATTGTTATTTAAACAATAGACGGAGGTTTATAGCCCATAGAGATACACGTGAGGTGGTGATACAATAAAATGTACTACATACTAAGACTAGAAACGCAGATCGGGAAATGTTTAATTCTACCATATACTACGTTTATGGGGAAATAATTACGATATGCAGTTGGCCAGAGTTGTATCAAATCAACAACATGCAATACTGTGTGTCCCCAACAAGTGACTGGTAGACTAGACCGTTGTTGTAATGGTCTAGCTATTAGCTTAATTCTTTTAATTAGACCATTCTGGATGTGGACGTATGGTACAGGATGTTCCACCTTAATCCTCATGGCCATACAATAATCGTCAAAAGCTGACGAGGTGAATTCACCAGCATTATCCATTCTTAAGTTCTTAATAGGATAATCAGGGAATTGAGCATTTAATCCAATGATTTGACTTATGAAATTTGCGAATGCCATATTTTGAGTGAAGGATGAACTGGTCCACAAATATCGAAATGGTCTGGATGAAGGATGAATTGGTCCACAAATATCACCCTATGACCTCTGTAAGAAGACAAGTGACTCAAAACCAATCTTAGGACGTGAGGGTCTTAGAATAAGTTTTCCCTTTGCACGGGGAACGCATGTGAAATCTTTTGTAGAAAGAATATTTGTCCTAAGAAGGTTAGGTCCAGTCGAATTTGAAAGTATCCGGCTTATCATAGTTTGCCCAGGGTGACCTAAGCGGTCATGCCATAAACTAAAAGAATGTGTATCTTTAAATTTCACCGCAAGTGCAACGCATGAAATTTGGGGCCTGATATAAGAATAATACAGGCCTGAAGAAAAGGAAGGAAGTTCTTCGATTTCCTTTTTCTGGTTATTTACCGTTTTGACCAAGACAAGGAATTCGATATTGTTTTTGATTTAGTTTCTATGTGAAATCCATTGGACCGAATATCCTTGAAAAGTCCGCCATATCTCTATAGTGAAACGAGTAATCAGGAAAATGAGGGATAGATATTCTATTCATAAGAAGATTTATTTAAAGAGCATAGAATATTTGTTCAAAATGCACACAGGCACTTAAAAGTATGAAAGAAACTGTCATGGCCAATCTACGATTATTACATAAAAACGATGATAGAAAGAAAAGAAAGATCATTCTTGATCTCCAAAATCTTCAAGCTCATACTTCATGAGGTCATAATCATCAGCATTATCAAGTGCGTTTGCTTTTCGTAACGCAACATGGTGGGACTCGTCTTTAGGCTGCATTTCGTCCCTCTTCATTATTTGCTTATATGCCTCTACGAAGTGCTTCGGGGTGCGACATGTACGAGACCAGTGTCCTGTGCACCCACATCTATAGTAGGTTTGCTGCTGCCCGGAATGATTGTTGGATGAGCTTGATTGTCCTTGATTTTCTGGTTGCCTTTGCTTGTTACGGGTGCTATGATTCTTGTTACCTCCATTTCTTCCTCCACGACTTGGACCCCTTCCGTGACCTCTTCCTCGTCCTCTACCTCGGTTTCCCCTAGTGTTGCTCGACTGGGCAACATGGTGTGCTTCAAGCACTGGTGTAGAGCCAACAGGGTGTGCATTATGGTTTCGCGTTAACAACTGGTTATGATTCTCAGCTACTAGGAGGCAGAGATCAGCTCAACATGATGGGTATAGTTTTTAGCCCTATACTGCTGCTGGAGTACAAGGTTACTAGCATGAAATGTAGACAAAGTCTTTTCAATCAAGTCTTTGTCAGAAACTTCTTGTTTACAGAGTTTGAGCTGTGACACAATTTTATGTAATGTTGAATTATATTCAGTGACAGACTAATAATCTTGGAATCTCAAATTCAACAGTCATATTGTGTCTGGGGGAGGACAAGCGATATTTGTTGATCAAAACGGTCCTTGAGGAATTTTCATAAAATGTAGGGGTCCTTTTCGGTAGGATACTCATTCTTAAGATCATGATTAAGATGGTGACAGAGGGAGGTGAGTGCTTTGGCCTTCTAGGCCGCATCACTTATGGAATCAGCAATAATGGCATCTTGTAGCTCAGTTGATGTGAAATAGATCTCAACATCAGGAGCCCAAGTCAAATAGTTACTCCTGCCTAAGGCCAATTCGATAAATTCACGCTTGGTTAGTGCAGCCATAATTGTTCACCGGGGTTGAACGTGCTGATAATGTGTTGAATTGCAAGTTTTTTTGCAGGCCTTTAGCTCGTGGAGAACAGTCATAAAGAGTAATAATAGCAGGAAGAAGAAGAATAAAGAACAGAGAAAAGTAATTCTTATTATCATAAAAAACACTCTGTGCAGCATTACAATGCTATATATAATCTCTAATATAATAATAGTCTTTAGGACTCTTAAAGTATTAGGAATCCTACAGTATTCAAAATCCTATTATCAATATAAAGCCAGAATAATGTCAACATAAGGTTTTACAACACATTAGTTATATTGTCTTTATTTTTCTCCAATATAAAATTTCTTTACATTCAAATTCATGAATTGATTATATTCGCTACATTGTCCCTACAATGTCTTTATTCAAAAAAAAAATTATTCATTATCAATAAATTAATTAAGAGAAATAATTTCATTAGTTATATTGTCTTTATTTTTCTCCAATTTAAAAAATATTCTTTACATTCAAATTCATCAATTGATTATATTCACTACATTGTCTATTATCTTTTTTTGTGTACTATTTTTTAATTAAATATCAAATTTATAATACAAAATAATGCTATATATTTATTTACCAAGTATTTTATTAATATTATGAAAAATTTAAAAAAAAAATAATTAAATCAATCATATTAACTACTTGAGGGATTTGTTGACAAAGAGAGTATTCAAATCACACAACAAATTGAAGTGGAAAACTACCTCGCTATGTCCATGTTTGATAATCAGCAGTTAGCGGTTAGCGTTAGCGGATTATATTAGCGGATTTGACCAACGAATTATATCAACGGTTGGTGAAAAGATATTTGAAAAAATTAACTGTTTAGATTAACATTTAAAATGACCTAAGAGTATACATAATAATAATAATAATAATAATAATAATAATAATAATAATAATAATAATAATAATAATAATTATTATTATTATTATTATTATTATTATTATTATTATTATTATTATTATTATTATTATTATTATTATTATTATTTTAAAAAAAAATAAAAATTATAATAATTTAATAAAAGAAATAATTTTATTTTAAAAAAATAAAACATATGGGGAGCCGAACGTTCGGCCCCCCTTAGTTTTGCCACTTTTCCCACATCAGGGGGGAAAGTGGCATGGGAGCCTTGAGGCTCAAATAGGAGCCTCAATGCTCCAATTTAAAAATTAAGCTTGCCCATCCGTTGATGGGCAAGTAGTGAGCCAGGAAACTGGCTCTTGTTATTCAAGGAGTCGAAAAGGCTCTACAGTAATTTTTTTTTTTTTTTTAATATAGAGGTGTTTTGGGGAAATCATTCTAAAAAACGCGAAGTGAAAATATTGTAAATTGCAATATTTGTATTTTCAGTGGTTTGGAACAAATTGTTGCTTCAAACTATTGAATAACCAAACACTTTCTTTAGCATTTTGATCTTTGGGTTACATCATATTTATCAATCGTCCAATATCTTTGGGTTACATTATAGTTAACATTTTTAAATTTTTACTACATTTAAATTCCTTAAATTAGGAATTCTTTATCCATAATAATTTATTCAACAATAATGGTTGAACTAAATGAACACTGAGCAAAACACCTAAAGGACTGGTACCGTTAATTCATCCATTGATCTTGTATATATGTGCATTCATTAAATATATTAGAACACTTTGCAACAAAAATACACGGTTACTATTTAAAAAAAAAAAGTTTTGTAACAATTATAATCAATATCTTATATTACATTGTATTCATATACTATGAGTTACATATTTAAATAAAAAAATTCAACATTAAATTACTTATGTATGAACTTCTCATATATAATCTTGCATTGATATACTTTCAAATATTTATTTAATTATAAACATTGGGCATTAAATCAATAAAAATAGATTTAGTTTCCAGCCTAAGGAAGGAATATTCTAGAAATGAATCTATTTATTAATAAGTTTTTAAATCTCCAAGAAAAAAATAATGACCAGATGTTATTTTTCCACTTTTAAGGAGTTTTTTCATTTTTCAAGGTGTCTTTTTAATTTTTAAGAATATTAATATTATTTGTTTACCTTTTTCATTAAATAGATAGTGATATATATAGCGGCATTTGGGTCTTCATATTTTACAGAGTTTATGAATGAATGGTGCGTCGCGATCGCCAAACTCAAGAACAACGGAAGGGAGCCAAAGAATCCGAGACGGCAGCGAGCATAAGAAGAACGACGCGGAGAGAAAGAGAACAGAGACAAGCTGATATGCTAGAACGAGGGAGCAGGTGGAGACGTTGGCGGCCGCCGGTGGCTCTGGTCTGGGGGTCTCACTTCTGGCAGTCAAGGTGAGGTTATTTTTTTGACTAATTTTTGTGATCTGTTGTTGTTCTAAATTTCTGATTCAGTTAGTAAACCCAAATGCATTTGTTTTTTACAGAAAATTTTAGTTTTAAAATTATTTAGGAACTTCTCTTCCAGTTTGATATTAGGGTTTCTGCAACTGTACAACAATGGGGAAGGGAACGGAAAGCTTTGGAAAGAGGAAAAACAAGACCCACACTCTGTGTGTGAGGTGTGGTCGTCGTAGCTTCTATCTCCAGAAAAGCCGCTGCTCGGCTTGTGCTTACCCAGCCAGCCTCAAGAGGACATATAACTGGAGCGTGAAGGCGATCCGTAGAAAGACCACTGGAACTGGCTACATGAGGTATCTCCACCACATGCCTCGCCGATTGAAGACCAACTTCAGGGAAGGTACAGTTTTACGATTTCATTCATATATTTACAAATTAAAGATGCATTTGACAGTTATTTTCAAGTGCAACAAATTTGATAATTGAAGTGAGTTGTTTGATTAAGTACTGAAGCACCTCCAAGGAAGAAGGCAACAGCAGCTTCTGCTTGAAGTTATTTGAGGGTGAATCTATGAAGGTTACTTTTAAGTTTTCATTTTGATACTTTAAAGAATTAGAACAAGTGAGATATTGAGGGACCTTATTGTGTGACCATTCAATCCTTAGCTGTGTTTATGATCGAGCGTGTATTTCAATTTTGCTACTGTGACAGAAATTTTGTTGAATGCTCATTTTCTTGATGGTGTTATATTTCTAGCAAGCATTGCTGATTTTGATTCGTTTGGAATTATAAGTTGCAGCCTTCCTGTAGTCTAAATAGTCCATGAAACTTACCACCTACCTAGCATTGGGCATGGTGTGCGTGCAAATAAATCACTAAAGAACAATATTTTTTCCCTCCCCCTTTTGTATATCTTCCAGCCATTGATAGATGTATTGCCCCAATGACTTTGACAGCTTTATCCATTTGTTGAGGTGTTGGGAGGAGTACTTCTCTGGTAATGAGATCTTTTATCAACGAATAGTATAGATTGACTCAGACCCCATAATCGTAGTTCAGATGCATTTTCTAGGCTTCTTCCTGTTTCTATTGAATGTCATGCTTTGTTGTACATTGTGATGTGCACCTAATTGTGCATATTTTTAGTATTAATTTATTTATAATTGTTAGGTTTAGGGTCATGATTGTGATATTTTAATTGCATAATCCTTTATTTTATTATTTAGTTGTGGTTCACACTCGTTTTGAATGTTTTACTGTGTTTGTTAGTGTTTTTGAACCATTTTAGGTCAAAGATATGAGCAAGGGGAGTTCAAGGATGAGTTTGGAGCAATCTTGGACGAGTTCGGGGCTAGGGGACTCGACGCGTCGAAATTTTCCCGAAACAATTAATTTCGCACACAGGAGGTTTCAACGCATCAAGAAATTTCTCGACGTGTCGAAACGCGTCTGTTTTTCAATAAAAAAAATAGACGCCTAAAGTGGCGCGGCTGGGCAAAATTCAACATAGGCGGGTGATTTCTTAATTTTTTCTTTCCTAAAGTCAAAGCACGGATTTCAAGGCTATAATTGGTGCTGATTCCCATACCAAATCAAAGAAATAATTTTCAAGATGGAAAGTGAAATTAGGGAAATGATTTTCTAAGCAAATTAAATAGGAAATATTCCTAATTTCTCCAGGGTTGATCCCAGCTTTGTACCTACTATAAAATCCCCCCTTCCTCAACCCTAAACATATTTCAGAATTGAGAATTCAGAGATCTTTGGAGACAAGAAAGAGAGAAATCAAGAGCCACAAGTTGTCTTGGGGATCAAGAAGAAGACTAGGGAGATTTGAGAAAATCGTTTGGTTAATTCTTGTACTCTTTTGAGGATTTGTAATTCTTTATTAATATTTGCTATGTATAATTTAGCCATGCTTGGCTAAATTCTTTAGAGATTCTTGGGTAAAAGTGTTTATGAACCTATGTGCCTGAGCTCTTAGATTCTTTAATATATTATTATTTGGGTTTAATGTTTGGGTTTCAATTGTGATTTTATTGTTTGATGCTTGTAATTAGTGGCCACAGTTACTTGTTTCGTTTGCTATCTTTGTGTCACAACGAGAGTTGGGCATAATTTAGGGCACACACAATTTCACCTAATTGTTGCACCTTGAGAAATGGTAATTTTGTTAGGGAGTTTAATTCTTGATTATTGCGCATCGAGAGATGGTAGTAGTTAGGAATTTATGATGCTTGATCTTGTTTTATTGGGTGTTTAAGCCACGAGAGTGGAAATTCACTAGTGTTAGTGACTACGAGAGTAGCTCTATACCACCTTGCATCCTCACACTTGTTAAACCCAGATTTTAATATTGTCCTTAAGATTTGGCACTAGGTGATTAAATACTTGAACCCCAGGAATCTCATATTCTCTCTAATTGTTTTCAAAATCCTGAATCTCTGCTTTATTTTATTTATTTTATGCAAATTAATCATCTAAACAATTGTTAGGATTAGCTCTAATGAATAAATTAGTAACTAGTGCTTGATACAACCACTTCTCTGTGGATCGATAACTCGTACTCCAAGTATTATTTGTTTGCAAATATACTACGCATCACATTGTATTATGTGTTTCTGAAGAGGATTTTTCTGCAGGGAAGGATGATTCTGTCTCACTTGTGTGATGAACCCAAGGGCTTGGAAACTACATGTGCATGGTAGTTTTACTTTTCTCGTTAATAAGCTACTGTAAATCATGTTGCAACTGAACTTGACTTGTGAACTTAAAGATAATATGAATATATACTGATTTGAAGCATATATAATTTTTTTGTTTTTATGCTGACCAATCATTTTTAATATTCTCCAAAATGTATCCATTATTAAAATTCTCGGTGTCAATATGATATGGACATTGAGTATTATTTTCTGAGTTCAATTGAACTTTACTATTGTTAGCTTTAATTGCTCAGGCTGAATGTTGTTTCATCTGCATATTGATGACTGAATGAAAAAGAGCAGAGAGTTTAAGGAATAAATCTGTAGAATGATGAGAGGCTGAAGAGGAGAGGGAATAAGCTAAGGCACAAGCAAAGAAGAGTGGAGAATAAAAAAAAAAAAACAAATAGGACAGTAGCAGGAGAAGTAGAATAAACTAATTTAAGGATTTATTTTGTGGGTTGGACTGTTTTGATAATTAGGTTTTAGTGAGTAAAACAATGGGGCTTTTGAAATTTTATTTTCAAAATAAAAATTTTAATTATTCACTTTTATTTTCCATTGATTATTAACATTTGGTTATGACTAATGTGAATACAAAATTTACTATTACATTCCGTCTTTCAATATAGTTTATAGATGTATATAGTTTAATTTATTCACTGATACCCTTGACGTATTATAAAATAAATTTAAAGAGAAAAATATATAATTAATCTTTTATCAATAATTGCTAAATGCAACTATAGTTCATTTAAAATTTAGTCACCATTTTAGCTTGCAACAGGAACACGTATTGCTGACCGATCAGCTTTAATTGCTCAGGCTGAATCTTTGTATATGTTATTGTGCTGTAAAATGTCAATATTTTTAATTTATATTTTAAGAAACAATAGAGTATTTGTAAAATGTCAATATTTTTAATTTATATTTTTACCATAGGTGCTACAGTATATTAAACTAAAATTGAATTTATTTTTTCTCATTCATATTTAAATTTGCAGGTTGCATTGGAATGATAGAATAGAAAGTTGCAAATCAGTGTTGTATTGGTGGGATCAAAAGCTGAAATAGACAATTTGAAAACTAAAATGTATATTATTTATCTTTGTATATTTTAAAAGGAAGTAGTATTGGTGTGAAGTTACTAGATTGGTAGAGAGACAATGATGGATTGAGAGAGGTAGAAGTATTAGGACTCTATGTATTTGAGTCAATCTAGATCTCATATTCCTAGTTACTATATGACTCTTTAATGTATATATTCTCATCTCTTGTACTCATTGTAATCAAGTTCAGTCAATACAATTCCATCAATTCTCATCTAGTATCAGAGCGTTAGGGTTTTCTCTCTTTCCCATGCCTGCTTGCTAAAGAGATCTCTATATGGATTAAAATAAGCCCCTAGTGCCTGGTTTAATCGTTTGCTTGCCTTTTTTATTAACAGTTGGCTTTCAAGCATCCAAAACAGATGTCTCTTTGTTCTTTTATTCTAAGTATTCTGCCTCAGTCGATCTATCTATTGGTTTATGTGGATGACATTCTTGTAATGTGAAGTGATCAAGTTATGGTTTCCCACTTAATATTGAAACTGTCATCAGCAGCTTTCAAGATCAGAGATCTTGGTGAGCCAAATAGTTAATTCCAGCAATGGTCCTCCGACTATTGTGATTTTCCAAAATTGGTCATCGTCTTTTAATTTGGACAAAAAAAAAAACCTAGGCTATCAGATTTGTTCCAGCCTTGATCATTCTGTTAAGCTTCAGTTAAATAGGCGTTAGCGTTGGGGCTAATAATGTCATTTCCTTACCTTATGTTGTTCTTCCTCATGTTTAAAAGAGTCCATCTGAGATGAGGCACCTTTGACCTCACTTATTACCTCACTCCACTGCCGCTCGCTGCTCATTCCGCAATTTCCCCTCGATCTTTACGTACTCACCAAACAAATAAATTTGATCTATTTGATCTAACCGCCCTCCCTCAATTCTATTCTTACTGAGAGAGAAGATGGATCGCTTAACGTCTTCGGGATATATATATATATATATATATATATATATATATATATATATATATATATATATATATATATATATATATATATATATATATATATATATTTCGAATCCGGTGCACCCCCCTTGTTAGGTGAGACTGTGAGCCCCTCTTTAATACCGTTGATTTCTTTTACGGATGGTCCAGATCTGTCATACACACGCGTGTCTGTGCATTGCTATAGAGGGATATTTTTGTCTTTTGATGAGGTGTTTAATTATGAGATGACTTTAATAGGAGCCGGGCTCTGTGCGTTGGTATATGTTCACTCTTGGTATCCCCACTACTGGTCATTATCGCGTCGCAGAGTAGACATCAAGTAAGCGTCTTTTCGCCGCCCGGTGCAATGGTAGTCTCCTTTCTCAGCCTTCTCAGAGGTCGTCCGGTGTCTTCGCCATGGCTAGTTTGCGCTTCCGTCGGTCCAAGCGGCTCCGGAGCAACTCTTCAGGGAATTCGCCAGGTATTCCATTCATCTCCTATTTTGTGTTTGTCGGTATTTTGTGGGCTTTTTTTTACGAGGTTAGCCCGAAATCGGAGGGGGGGTGTTCGTATGGTTGGGGTTGG